ACGCCCGGCTGATTTTTTGATTTATTGTAGAGATGAGGTCTCGTTGCCCAGTTACTCACCTCAGCCTCCCAAAGGCGTGGGATTACAGGCTGAGCCACCGAGCCCGGCTAGTAAAATTAAATTTAAAAAAGATATTGTCTGAGAATTTTCAAGAATCATGAAAGGCATGAATCAACAAATTCAGAAAGCCCAAAGAATTCAGGGCAGGAGAGAAAGATATGTCATGGTAAAGCTGCAGAACATGAGAACAGACAGAAAAATACAGGCAATCTGTGAAGAAATGATGGGACATCGTCATCATCTTCCTGAGGGGCAATGACAGGACAGGAAGACAGGGTGAGGCGTCTTGACCGCGCTGCAAGAGGACAGCTGTCATCCAGTGAGCATGCCAAGACACCTATCAAGAATAAGGGCGAAATGAAACCATTTGCAGACGAACAAAAACCAAGAGGGTATGCACCAATAAGCCCTCCCAAAAACAGAATGTAAAGATTGTACCCGAGGCACAAGAAGAGTGACCCCAGTTGTGTAAGTTGAGATGCAAAAAGAAAAGATGAGCAAAGTTGGTAACTCTGTGGTCAAATCCAAGCTGATGCTGACTGTGTAAAGCCACTTAGTGTTGTCTCATGGGGTTAAAATGGAGAAGATGAGGCTTAACATACACTCAACACAAAGGATACCTGGTCCGCTACTAAGGGGAGAGAGGGCCATCTAGAAGCCTAAACTTCACCTGCATGCAGCCTACTTGTGTAGCAAATCCTCACTTATACCCCACAACTCTAAAAAAACCCAAGCACCATACACTACAGTTAAGGCTTATCATGAAGGAGATGGGTGATTACTCCAAAGTTTTTATATTTTAAGGGGCAGGGTAAAATATTTTAAAAATATGTAAAGATATTGGACTTTCATAAGATAAGTATGCATGTCAAAAAAATTTTTTTTGAGTTGGAGTTTCACTCTGTCACCCAGGTTGGAATGTAGCGGCACACTTACTGCCACCCCAGCATTAACCCACTGGGCTCTGGAGATCCTTCCACCTCAGCCTTCCAAGTAGCCAGAACTACAGACACGTGCTACCACACCTGGCTTATTTTTGATTTATTGTATAGACGAGGTCTTGCCAAGTTGCCTGGGCTGATCCTGAACACGCAGGCTCAGGCAATCCACTTGCCTCGGCCTCCCAAAGTGCTGGGATTACAGGCTGAGCCACCGAGCCCAGTCCATGTCAAAAATTTTAAGGTAACCACTAAAACGTTAGAATTAGAGCATATAGGAGAAGAAAAATAGAATGAGACCAAAAAATTTATCTCAAAGAAACAAAAAAGGAGAGGAAAACAAAAAAACAGGCAAGATAAATAGAAATAACAATACAAGATGGTAAAAATATATCCAGAGATTTTAATAAACATAGTAAGTGTAAATGGACTAAATGCTCCAGTTAAATGACAAAGATTATCCTTTAAAAAAACTTGTAGTGTGAAAAAATTCAAATATAAAGAAAAATGGGAAGGATATTACAAAAAACACCTGTATACCTGCCATGTAAAGTCAACCATTATTAAAAATTTGCCACATTTGTTTCATCTGTATGTACATAAAGGAAATTATTAAGAATGCCTATTTTACAGAGCAAATGTAGTATAATGAATTGTAATTTAGCCAGATGTTGTGGCTCATACCTGCAAACTCAGCACTTTGGGAGTAGCCTTGTTTCTAAAAAAAAAAAAAAAATTAGCTGGGCATAGTGGCACATGTCTGTAGTCCCAGCTACTTGGGAGGCTGAGGTGGGAGGATCTCCTGAGTCCAGGAGTTTGAGGCTGTGGTAAGCCATGATCATGCCACTGCACTCCAGCGTAGGCAATAGAGCGAGACCCTGATTTTAAAAAATGCAATTTAAATGGTAATAATGACTTACAATGTTCATTTTTGAGGTCAAGCAGATCTGGGTTCCCAGCAATTTTTAATCATATAACTTATTTGTGTGGTTATTTATTCAAAGAATCTCTCCACTAGGCTCCAGTAAGAGGGTTGGAATCAGCTCAATTTTTCTGCTCATTGCATTTATAAATATTTGTTGTATAAACGAATGGTATTTACCAGTAAAGGATTCAGTATAGGGCTTGTTGCATAATAGACATTTAATGTAGAGTAACTTGTATTTATTACAGTCGATGTTGTTATTGAAAGCATTCAGCAGAGTGGCACAAAATAAGTAAGCAATAATTGGTAGTTTATTATATTTACAATTATTACTTACGAGACGTCACAGTGCCTATCACTCACCCAATAAACATCATGTGTATAATAAGTAGTTTCGTTATTATTCAAAGTCTCTAACAGCGCTTGGCGCTACATAAGAAAGACAAAAGTGGAAGTTTATTCTTCTTATTATTACTGAATGGTGCACTTAACGGCTGGCCCCGAGCGGGCCCTTAATAAATAGTTTTCACGGTGGCTGCCACCACTTCTGGACATCTCAGACTCACCCCTCCTTCGAGCGGCGCTAAGCCCCGCCCCCTTTTGCCGGAAGGCCCGCCCCCGAGGCTTGTGCCGCGCCTGCGTACTGCGCCGGGAGGGGCTCCGCGCGCGCAGCTGTCCTCCCCACCCCTGGAGCCGGCGCAGGGCGCAGCTTCCCGCCGCCAGAGCCGGCCAGCCTGCTGCGTGCGTGCGTGTGTGCGTGCGTCGCTGCGTGCGTGCGTGCCGTCAGCTCGCCGGGCACCGCGGCCTCGCCCTCGCCCTCCGCCCCTGCGCCTGCACCGCGTAAACCGCCCCCCCCCCCGCGCACCCCGTCGACGACCCCCGCCCGTGCCCTGACCAGCCCCCCCACCTTTGTGTACAATTTAAAGGGGGCGCAGCATTAACGCTTCCCGCCCAGGTGACCTCTCGGGGTCTCCCCGCCAAAGGTGCCCCGCCGCTGAGGAATATGGCGAAGGTGGAGCAGGTCCTGAGTCTCGAGCCGCAGCACGAGCTCAAGTTCCGAGGTAAGCCCTGGAGGCCTGCC